TATAAATAATAATAATAATAATAATAATAATAATAATAATAATAATACGTTTACATCAGTAACATTATCAACAGTTCCATCGTTTTCACCTGAAATAAGGGAAATAAGGCACGAAATACCTTCATTAATAACATCACATACGAATTTAACATTTCCAACATCACCACATACGAATTCAACATTTCCAACATCACCACACACGAATTCAACATTTCCAACATCATTACATACGAATTCAACATTTCCAACATCATCACATACGAATTCAACAACATCATCACATACGAATTTAACATTTCCAACATCATCAAAAACATTACCTTTACCAACCAATATTAATAACGTTAAAACACTTGAAACATGGATAACAAAATTCGAAACACATTCTATAATATCAAGAAGAACATGTGCAAAATTTTCAATAGAATTTAGAGAAGATAGTAAATGTTTTCCATTTTTAGGATGTTTTGTACCAATATTTGAATCTATTAATCAACTTGGAAGAAATAATATTATAACATCAAAAGAATGTTTAGATTTTGCACTTCGTATGTTAAACGTTATTAAAATTGAACATTCACATTTTCATATATTACATAATACAACAAGAACAACAACAACAACAACAACAACAAGGAATAAAGGAGAAGAACTTTTATTAACACAACCTATAGTACTTCATGAATCATTAGATGAACCTTTAACAATATTATTAAAAGAAATATTGTTACCAATAGAAAAAAAACATTTATGTGATTATTTGTGGGCACCAAGTAATATATCAAATTTAATGCATCTTCAAGAAATTAGAAATGATAATAATAATAATAATTTTATGGAAGAAGATGAATTTGAAGAATATGAACGTATTATGAGTGAAATTAGTTTAATTGAAGGTTCAAGAGTTAGTCAACTTGAACATATGATAGTTGGAGAAAAGATGGCAAAAGTTATGAGAGAAATATTGTCAAAAAAATAATTAAAATTTTTTTATTTAATTAAATCAAAATTTAATTATCTGTTATTATAATTTCAAATTCAAAAAAAAAAAAAAAAAAAAAAAAAAACGTTAAAATACTTTGATTATTACTATTGATTAGTTTGTTAAAGTGCTACTTATAATAATAACTTTAGAGATTATAATAATACTTTAGAGATTACATAGATTTTTAATAATTTTTTTTAAATAATTTGTGACAATATAATTGTATTGTATTCTTCTTTTTTTTTACTCAAATATATATAATTGTTACATACTTGTATTATCAAAATCGCGTAAACATGTATGTGAAATTGAAAGTTTTTCATTTTCCAAAATATCACATGGTATATGAGGCAATGGGGGTAAATTTCCCTTGTTAATCTTTTTGAAAGATGATAATTGTGTCAGGGTTCACGTAGTAAATCTTACTTTTTGAGGTCAATTTTAAATTCCAGAAACCTGAAGAATTAAAAAGAGACCTCAAACAGTAAGATTTACCACGTGAACCTTGACACAATTGTCATCTTTCAAAAAAGATAATAAAGAACCATAAGCCTTGTTTCTATTGAACGAAGTTCCGTATATCATAAAAGAGAAGTAATTATCCTTGAATGATCTCAAAATGATAACGACTATCATAATCAAAATTGTGTTCATATTAAAAAGGGGGTATTATTTTTTTTTTTTAATTATTTCGAGAGTCACTATTGGTCACCTGATTTATTTTTTTCTTTAT